GCTGTTGAAATGGATTATTTATAATTTTTATTAACTGGAGTTGTAACATTCGAAATATCAAACTTTCTTTGATAAATTGCCATATTAGTGCACGAATGTAATACTATCTGCATGACCTGATTCTGGAAGATCTTGAGCACAAAAATCTTTCCATGATACTTCCTCTTTCATCCTTGGACTAATGAGGAAGTTTGTAAAACAATACGTAATGCATTTTTTATACTGCTCCCGGCACTGACCGAATACAATGTCAGACGAGCTTGGTTCAGTGGTGCATCACTTCTTGCAAAACATGAAATGAAACATTCGCTCCAAAAAGTAACGCGTTCTTAGTCTATTAAAGAGTTTTAAGAAAATTCGGTCTTACAAGAATATCCTGATACTTATAATTAGTAAACAGTAGGCACAGTTAATTTTATTTTTTGAAAAACTAATAAAAAATATTATATGCAGTACGTATATATACTGTATATATACAGTATTATTCTTGAAGGCGACCAAAATATCAAATACGTAGATCCTCATTTTGTACGTATACAGCATATAATGCAAATTTTATACATAAAAACTTTTTACATAGAGTGTGTTGGCGCCGAGTTCTACCTCTCGGTCGAATTTGATATCCCGACTACTTGTGAAGAATTTGTGAGAGTTTTGAGAATAACGCGTATCATGCTGCAAGTCAAGTCAATTTCTTGTTTTTGCTTAACTCGTACCTACGTTAATTTTTTGGTACAAATGATGTTATCATCCACGGTTTCTCTTTCGCTTCAACAACTGAACGTGCGGATAGTGAAAGTTTTTACTGGAAAAAAAAACGGTTATCTAATATCTAATCAATCATTTCTCTTGCTGGTCGAGCGGCGACGCCGAGGTCGACGAACTCATTCAGAATACTCAACGTGAGGCCACTAGCAAATTTAACTTTTTAGAATGGATACCCTACGAAAGTCTTCTAGATGTTAAGCAAATTGGAAAAGGTGGGTTCGGACTAGTCTACTCGGCAAAGTGGGTTGACGGTCCGCGTTCCAAATGGTGTAGTGAGACAAAAACATGGGCAAGGTATCCCGGAGTAGATGTAGCTTTAAAGTGTCTGGTCGAGGGCAAGCCCAATAAGGAGCTTTTTGAAGAGGTCTGTGTTTTAATAATAGGGCGCAAAATGCCAAAAATATTTGAATTTCTATTTAATGCTACATTTCTGCGAAAAATATAGATCCTGTCACATCTTGCAGTTAACAAAGGTGTCCTTGGACGCAATAATACACTTCGCATCTACGGATTGACAAGAAACCCCCAAATTCCTGACAAGTTTATGATGGTCATGACACTCGGGGACGAGGGAGACTTACGTTCCTTCATAAATAAGAACTTTCCTCACTTAGACTATTTAAAGAAACTAGAAATACTTTTTGACATAATTACCGGTATTCTCCAGATACATCGAGTTGATCTTGTTCATCGAGACTTGCATTGCGCAAATATTATGTGCCAACGATTTATAAAACCAGAAGAGGGACGGGACGATCGCAAATATGTAGTGGGAGATTTGGGATTAACTCGGAATGTATTACACAAAAACAAACATTTTTATGGCAGGATTTCATATTGTGCCCCGGAGGTACTTGAGAGTCAAAAATTTAGTAAAGCGTCTGATATTTATAGTTTTGGAATAATTATGTGGGAATTAGTGACAGGTCAAAAACCATTCGCGAACATTGACCAAGAAGTCTTACGGATTCTTATTGCTATAGGTAACACGCCGATTAACATCAGTGAACCGAAAATAGATGTACACTTTCCACCATGCTACGAGCTGTTGATGAAACAATGTTGGAACCGAGAACCGGAGAAAAGACCAAGTGCACAAAAGATTTATGAGACGATAGGCGTTTGGTTGCAAACATTAATGTTTGCGAAAGATGGAATGATTGCTCAGGAGTTTTCAGAAGCGAATAAGAAAAGGCCGACAAAAATACCAGAAGAGGCGGGACCGCAATTATCTATGTCGCATCCAGCAGATTCATCGGATTTTGGTATGGCACTTTGATTGTGTTATTCAAGTATGCATTTGCTCCAACCTAAATTTTAAATATTTCGTTTCCACTAGATGAAGGTGAAGACTCATGTCAGACCAACAGAACTGGAAGCCATTGTTCATTATGCTCTAGTTCAAATAACGATATTGATAGAGCGATAGATTTCATTTTATAATGATTGTGATTATATCATGTTTTAAGCATTTGCGCACGGCACCTTAGACTAGCAGAATATCCTTAACCATTAGAACTAGATTCTATTAGCAACATGTTTTTGTTTCTTAACATCTGATGCTTGTAGATTGCATCGATGAACTTAGAAAAGGTTCAGAAGATATCTAAAGAAAACATTATATTCTTGCAATTGAGATTAAATATTTAATTATTATTTTACAATACAATTATTCACCGCGCGTGATCCAGCATACGTATTAATCACGTAGATCCCGTCCAAGGAATACGGTAACTGCCCGCTACAGGTTTTCCCCTGGCTTCACTTACTGTATATGATCTCTGGATATACCCAATCCTTTTATAATAAATTCTTGCTACAACAAACTCAAAATTTTTAGATTTTTATTATAAATTCATATGCAAACCTAATAATTTTCTAAAAGCATCAATTCATTACGGAAAGAGTCAACCACATATAATATTTTTAAATTTTTTTTTTTTTAAACTGCTGGCTCAGCCTTACTTTATTTGGATTAAATAGAGTATACATATGTCTATGCTAGTGCTACCTATGTTAACCAAGTAAAGTTCGATAGAAAAGGAAAGAAATTCACCTCGCAGCTTGTGGCCACCCCTATTGGGGAGCTAACCAGCCAAGGCTGGGCTAGTGCTATATAAAATTTTGAAGATGTCTGATGGGTG